CTGTGCCCTGGGGAAAGAATGGTGGAACATATGATTTTTTAATCTAAGCAACACACAAAGTTGTGAAGCTATAAAAGATCATAAAATATATAAAATGATACTGTATTACACAGTGCCACCTTCCTCTTCCTCCTTCTCCTAGATCAAATATCTATGACCCGTCTGGTAATGTTATGCCAGTTTTGTATATGCTAGTTATGTATATGTATAGGGCCTACATAAGCAATTTAGATACACGTTCAAAGGGCTGGTTCGGGTATCTTGTTCAGGTGCTGATGCTATGCAGTAAAATACGAAATGTATAATTTTACTTATTAACTGCAATATACGGATGGACATCTATCCTCCCCTGAAATAGGTGAACGGTCACCGTTAATCTGTCTGTGCATTCGTCAGTGAAAGCGGGTAAACAAAAAAGGTATGGAAGTAAGGTAGGAAATCGAGCTCTGAAGTGAAAATTTGAGTCTTGAAATTAGTTTTACATAGACCTTTAGTATTCAGAGTCTTCAGTCAATTTCAGTAACGCTAATTAAAAACATACAAAGAGCTAGCTACCTAGCAGTGCCTTTAAATGTACTGTTCTAGGTGGTTCTCAATAACTACAATAATACACACAGTTTAAGTTATTAATATTTAACTAAAGAATATAATAATAATAATAATAATAATAATAATAATAATAATAATAATAATNGTACTCGCCTTCTCCTTCTAAAGAGACGCAGAACTTGCACTTGGGTGTGATGTGCTTGGCGGCCGACTTGATGCCGAAGATTCTGGCGAAACAATAGCAACTGCAGTTCTGCCAAAGATCCACGCAGCAGCACGGTGTGTTTATAATCACCGAGGGAATATTTCGGACCACCTGGGTAAAGATTTTTTTGTACTCTAAATATACTTTTAAAATTGCATTTCGAACATATTTCAATTTTATTGCATGATAACTGAAATACGTTATCAAAGGTTTACGTAACTGCAAGAACGTCTTAATCTTGATCACATCCATTTTCATAAAACCACGTTTACCCTGGGGTGTCAGTCTTCATCAATTTATTGTGTCTTTTCCACAAAATTCAACAGTTAAGTATTTTTTTATCGCATAAGTTATTCACAAAAACATAGTTTACGATCAATTCCGTTTATAGTACTTTTTAATCATTCAAACATGACTTACCCCTAGACAGCAAGTGTTTGTGCAGCGTCCGTCAACAAGATCCCGTGTGGCAGCATAACTATAAAACTCCTCACCAACGTTCCGCGTTTCTTTAATTGATGTGGGTACTTCTAGGTTCCTTATTGACCTTCTGGCTGTGTCTCTTTTTTTCTTCGAAAACTCCGGAGAACCCCCTGCAGTACCGATGGCAACGTCCAGTAGGCCTGAATTCTTTGACGTGGAAGTCGGCGCTGTCGGTTGCGGGCCAGATTGCCCAGCGCCCCTGGCGGCGCGTGGATGGTGTGGAGTTCGAGATCGGGTGAGCTGTGCCCTGGGGAAAGAATGGTGGAACATATGATTTTTTAATCTAAGCAACACACAAAGTTGTGAAGCTATAAAAGATCATAAAATATATAAAATGATACTGTATTACACAGTGCCATCTTCCTCTTCCTCCTTCTCCTAGATCAAATATCTATGACCCGTCTGGTAATGTTATGCCAGTTTTGTATATGCTAGTTATGTATATGTATAGGGCCTACATAAGCAATTTAGATACACGTTCAAAGGGCTGGTTCGGGTATCTTGTTCAGGTGCTGATGCTATGCAGTAAAATACGAAATGTATAATTTTACTTATTAACTGCAATATACGGATGGACATCTATCCTCCCCTGAAATAGGTGAACGGTCACCGTTAATCTGTCTGTGCATTCGTCAGTGAAAGCGGGTAAACAAAAAAGGTATGGAAGTAAGGTAGGAAATCGAGCTCTGAAGTGAAAATTTGAGTCTTGAAATTAGTTTTACATAGACCTTTAGTATTCAGAGTCTTCAGTCAATTTCAGTAACGCTAATTAAAAACATACAAAGAGCTAGCTACCTAGCAGTGCCTTTAAATGTATTGATCTAGGTGGTTCTCATTAACTACAATAATACACACAGTTTAAGTTATTAATATTTATCTAAAGAATATAATAATAATAATAATAATAATAATAATAATAATAGAATGTGAACACACAGACCTTTTCTGGTAATCTCCATAGTCTCTAGCCAGAATTAAACTTTTGAGGTTTTCAAGAACTTTTCCCCAGCTTTGAATCGCACCTATAGCTTTCAAAGGATGGGTACCCGCTTTATATCTACCAACCTGAAGCCCCCGAGCACAACATTTGATATAAATAGCCGAAACTGTTTAGACAGAACAGCCACAGTTATCATCTGCATCGAATAGGCGATAAAACAGATCATTTTCAGGTCACTAAAACAGATCATTTTCAATTTAAATTGTGTGTGATAAAAAAAAAACAAAAAGTGCCCTTAAACTTCCTGGCTGTCTGGCAAATTCCACACACTTTGAACGCGTCATTGCGCTCATCACATCTGACAGCACAAGGGCAAACATCTTCCTTGTTAAACCACACAAAAAAAATATGGTTGCGCCGGGAGACACACTGATCCAAGGAAGTACAAATGTCCCATTCCTTGATAAGCAGAAGAGTAATGAATTTTTCGTTTTTTTCTTCATGTGATATGTGGACATTAGGAAAAGCCAAAACAAGTTTATTTTCTTGCCCCTATTATGTTGTGAATTACGAAATTAAAATTATTAAAAAACAGTGGTATATAACATCATAACATCCTGAAAGGCAGTTGGCCATTCGAGGTACTGTTTATTCGCCATATGGTTCTAATTCATAGCTAGAAAAACTGATTACTGACAACATGACGCATTTCACTATTTCTCGAAACCATACGAAGTCTTTTATCATTGCTACCGCCGTAATTAATTAAAAGAAGTCAGGATATCAAAGTCCACGTCCCAAAGATGAAGCATGTAGAGGAAAGGTGGAAAAGTCTTCTTCAAGACTTCATTAAAACGAGCACATATGGTTTAAGCGGTAGTAGTTCAACTGTCAAGAAAAAACTGATGATAGCATATCAAACCATCTGCGCGGTAACCTAAACTACGATGTCCTCTTGTCGTGCTGTGAAATTTCTAATGCAAAACTATATCCGTAGAATCCGATGAAAAATGCGCCAAACGTACCTCCAAATAAACATGCCTATGATTATCTTTTATTTTTTTAGGAGTGTGCGTCATTAAAGATCCAGAGCCACCGTTAAGTGTTATCACCCTGTGTTACTTTCATACTTATAAATGTGACCCCCCCCCCCCCTCTTCTCAGCATATACGTTGGAGTCGCTTGTCAGAGGTAAATTAACATAGACTGGTTTCCCATACTTATAGAGTGCATTCCCATAGATTTTTAGATCGATCTATCCCCGTGTGGAGTCTCACTAGATTGTTGTCAGCCTGACCAGCTTAAATGTCTGTCCCGCTTACTAAAAGCTGTAAGGGGGTAATTAACATTTGTGCGCGCTCGGCTCTCGGAACCTGACAGCAATTTAGCCTGAACACCCAATGAGTTAGGTCGATCCGGATAGGTCCGTCTAAATCTATTGGAACCCAGTCAAAGATTGTTCCATCTGGATCGACCTAACTCCCTGGGGAGTCTCGCTAAATTATTATCAAATAACCGGCTTATATGTCTGTCACGCCTACCGAATCACCTAGGGGTTAAAGATAATCCCCCCCTAACAGCTTTACTAGGCGTGACAGACATTTAAGCCGGTCAAGTTGACAGCAATTTGGGGGAAACTCCCAGGGAGATAGATCGATCCAAATAGCTGTGGGAATGATCTGATACTCGGGGTGGTTATCGTACACGTAGAACGAAAATTTACTAATTACATTTTGGAGTAAACAGGTTGGCTGCTACATTGTATATGTACACATTCCCCGGTGTTTATACGGAACGGTAATTAGTAAGGCTGGTACAAGACACTGACATCAGGCAATTCAAATGCTGAAATGCACCTAGAAGAAAGGGGATGAAAGGTACCGGCGTCTCTGGTTTGGTATTTGGTTTTCTTGAGTATGTAATATCGCCGAGGGGTAAACGCTACTGAATACATCACTTCGCTTATCTAGAAGGACTGCAGTATGGGGGGATTCTGTAATAATATCTGTGGTACTGAATTATTCTTGTCTTCCACGTCTTCAGAGGTTGCAAGAGAAAAATGTATCCATTGCAGCAACGGAAAGAAAATCCCACAGGTAAAAAATGAAAATAATCAATATTATGAAAAATGTAAACATTTTGCAAGGCAATAATTTATACTGTATTAATTGACAAACACAGATTTTGAAAATTAGTTGCGGTCTTTCAAAAGCCGCATTTGGATATTTAAGGCACTCAAGTTCATGGGAGTGTATTATTTGTTGATGTTGGATGAAAATATCCCGCACACGTGAACCATGTGGACCTATTGCAAAGTCACGAGTTCGAATCCCGGATGAGGCACGTCAGTCCATCACGACAACGACCGGGACCCTGAATCGGGATGTCACGAGGACGAATCTGGGCTCTCGTGGGTCCTAGCAAATTACCTTTTGCATAAAAACACTGTATACTTTAGAAAGTTTACATTAGGGGGAACATATTGCTGGTCATTAGAATAAAGTCTGCTTCGTCGATAATATTTCCTTTCTCTTCAGTTAAAAGTACTTAGATTAGTGCCACAGATCTTGTACTTAAATTGAGCAAAATCTAACACCGTATGTACTGTATTTCATCAAAATGTGCTTTCTTCTCGGTAGGATTATCAGAGAGAAAATTTGTATTGTTTAACAAAAGTCGCGTCGCCTCTATTGCTTTTAACAAGCACACATTTTCTCTTTTCATGACCCTCCTTTCCTTTCTTGCACCATTGCTTCACATATGTTTATACAGTACCCGGGGCAAGTCCGCAGTTGACATTTGAAAGAGTAAAGACTGCTCAATACTAAAACCGCCCAGGTGTGAACAGCAGTGGACCTCATCGTGCTGTATATCGTCAAAGGTGAAAGCAAACGTTATCTCGGTGCAAAACAAAATGAAAATAAAAGCATCTGAAGTCATCAAACTAAATATATTTTATTCAAAATTCCCATTGCTGCAATTGCTTATATGGCAATCGCACCAGTAACTACACATTTGAATGTTTTTTCCCTCTCTTCTTAGGGTCTCGCTAAAATTAAAATACGCCTCTTTAATATCATGGGTAAAGCCAAAATTAATCTTAGTATAAAATAAACTCCCAGTTCCGTGTCGGGTTCTCAAACACACATGGCTTCCTGAACATCATGAAATTTACCGTTCATGATAAACCGTGGTCGGGGACTGGGGTTGCGTGGGATGATCTACAAATGCGGCACCCGGATTATCGATCGGGAAAGCAGATATACACATGTACATCCAACCTGGCCCTGTCCGTGGCAAGGTTGAAAGTTTCCATCCGATCTTTGCATATTGACGAAGCTGGCGTGGTTCCCTGGTAATTTTGCTGTCTCCTATACAAACAGACGCTGGTACGCTGGTTCGAGACCCAGCAGATATAGTAATTTTTTTCCAGAATTAAATCTTAAAAATTCCCATTGGTTACTATAAGAGGAAACTCGTACGTAAGGAGGGTGGGCGGCTCTGTCACGGCGCAGTCAGTAGCGTGTTTGGATGCGGTTTGCCTCTCTAGACTTGTTTTGGGGCAATGTAGTGCTTGGGCTCGAATCAGACTTTAAAATAATTCACGCGGAACCCATATATATCCCGTATCCAAGCTCACAAAAAGGAAACCTCGGCAAAATAAGTTACGAAGTTAATAAGCCTTTGCCCATATGGGATGAAGTGAGTCCACGCATGGTGGTGGCATGGATTCTGGTTTAGAAGTCTGAAACTCGCAGGGATCTTTTGGAGGTCATATTGTGGCACAGCTTTACTGTCACAGGCAAAAAATGTTCTAATGGCTCTTAGCCCCTTTCACACATTAGGGCCTACATTGTTTTTAATTCTTGAAGGAAAACACATGCACATTTGTATTGAAACAATGAATGAATGTTTAAAGATCATTTCAACGTGCATACTAGTCCTCTTTCTTGCAAACTTCTACTTCCAAAAGGTACAGATTACGATGAGTAGTTGGCGACATGACTCGACAGATCTTATACGTGGCCTCCACAGCAAGCATGCGCATTACTTCTGGCAACATTCGCTCCAGAAAAATCATATCGGTCGTGCGCAACTTCTTGTAGATAAGATCATTGTATTTTGAGATGTGGGTATAGGTGTCGGTCATAGTGGCGATGAGCATATTCATGAGGAGAATATTTACAAGCACCACATACGTTATCAGTAACGCTGGCAAAGTAATAACAGGAAAGTTACTTGCAGAAGTGTCTTTGAAGATATTCCCTGGTATTATCTGAATTTCTGAAAGGCCCACCATCAGTCTAAACAAAGTCCACATGGTGGTGCCAAAACCATCAAACTCGGCTATTTCATCAGACACAATCGCTGAAGAGGTCGAGGAAGGTAAATGATTATCCATAGCTACACCTATAGCAGAGGAAAACCCCGCCGTCAGGATCAGATATATGATAAGAAATCGAAGCAAATCGCCGAGCATGATGCGCTGAATCATAGCAGAGAAGAAACTGGTCTGTCTGAAACCGCGTGTGAAGAAAATTAGGAACACCCATCCAAGAAGAAGAGCTAAAGGTTGAAACGACTTCACGGCATCGGTCAGGAATGACAGCATAGAAACAGAAAACAGAAGAAGAATGACGTGGAGTTTATTCCAGCTGAGGAACTTCCACATATTCAATATGGCGTTGCCTCTGTGTCTCACCGACCATTTTAACGCCCCAGTAAGGCTGTATATGAAGAATAAGAAAGTGCCGACCATAAGGAACAGGTACACACCTGACGGGAACTTTCTCTTGTATCCAGGTTCATGGATTTGGGCTGAATTGTTCCTGTAGGGAAGCGAAGCATTTGGAATCGAAGATCCATTGGACGGCGTTTGGAAGAGTAAAGGATCAAACGCGGGAAGAGATAGTATCAGCATGTAAATTAGATGCAAAATACCCCATGTTATGTAGTACATCCTGTAGTTGTGCCATTTGATATGCAGCAAATGGTTAATTACCGGAATACTAAGGCATTCTATGCGTTCTTCGTTATTGGTGTACACAAGTAGTTCCAGCGCAGACATTCGAGACGTACTGAGAACTGGATCAATTTCAGTAACATCGTAAAATGCTGTGGTTGTATGGCCATATTCCCACTGTGAAAACCTGAAAATAAATCATTTTTTACAACCAGGTCCTCATATAAATGATTAACACTATAGTTGAAATAAACTTTGTGAAAAAAGTTTTTTTTTTTTCAATAATATATTAAGCTTTTTGGCCACTTTAGAGTCTACAAGTGTTAAAGAGCATAGACGTCTGACTGAATTTGCATTTGTAACAGAGCTATCTTCCAGACAGTCTCTATAAACAATCCAGATTGGCTATTCCAAAATGAATTTATGTACTTACCTGTATATGTTGTTTGTGTTGAGAATTTTCTCAAACATTTCCTTGACACCGACCTTGGCTGCCAAAGTCAAAGCAGTGAATTCTTCTCTATTTGCCAAACGGAACAGGTAATGCTTCGCTTCAATTTCTGTGGCGACACTATTCGCCCTGGTCATATCCACGCCTTCGCTTCTACACCACCAGCGAGTGGTATTGTTCAGGATTACTTCGTACATCTCCAATGCTTCTTGGAGTTTATGCTGCGACATTAGGACGATGGTGTGTAGAACGGTGTTGTCTTGCGAATCTCTGCCATCTAGTGGAGCTCCTTTTTCTATGAGAAGCTGAACTAGTTGAGCATTGCCAGACAGCACAGCAAGTGACAAGGGAAGTTCGGCGGGAACCAAAGTCCTCTTGAACTGCTCCCCGGTAGCACATTTACGAAGAAGTTTCAGAATGTCGGCCTCAGCCAGATGGTAGAACATGGCTTCCATTGCTTTGAAGTTTCCGTTTGCCGTGGCGATGTGCAACGCGGTGGCTCCTGTGTAACTACCCGCCATCTCCTTGAAGAGCAATGCCTTTCCCAATCGCTCAATCAAGATTATAGCCACTTCGGTGCTATTGTGAAGGAGTGCTATGTGAAGAGGGGTGAGGCCCTTCCGGTACCAACTTCTGTTGGCATCCAGAAAGAAATTTAACGCTTCGTCACAGACTATTTGTAGCCGGTTGGCATAGTTCTTGGTGCACAACTCCAGGATTTCCTTCTCTAGCCTCGTAACGGCTCTGGGGTCCGTCTTTGAGCGGAAGCGTTCCATTTCCCACTGAATACGGAGGCGATAGTTCATCTCCTCGTCTGTACCAAGAGAGACATCGGCGGACGGCCACAGCTTGGTGAACTCAATCAATATGGACTCTGTATTGTACTCGCCTTCTCCTTCTAAAGAGACGCAGAACTTGCACTTGGGTGTGATGTGCTTGGCGGCCGACTTGATGCCGAAGATTCTGGCGAAGCAATAGCAACTGCAGTTCTGCCACAGATCCACGCAGCAGCATGGCGTGTTTATAATCACCGAGGGAATATTTCGGACCACCTGGGTAAAGATTTTTGTATTTTAAGTATAATTTTTCATATTGCATTTCGAAGATTATTGAATTTATAAAATGACTTACTGAAATACGGAATATCAAAAGATATACGTTATATCTTAGCCTTCATCACGTTCATTTTCATAAACCAACGTGTACCCTCTGCATTCTTGGATGCGGGTCTTCATAACTTTGCGTTGTTTGCACGTAATATGCATAATTCACCAATTAAGCGTAGTTATTGCATAAGTTATTCACAAAATTATAGTTCAAGGTTTATACCTTTTAAAGTACTTTTTAAATCATTCAAACATGACTTACCCCTAGACAGCAAGTGTTTGTGCAGCGTCCGTCAACAAGATCCCGTGTGGCAGCATAACTATAAAACTCCTCACCAACGTTCCGTGTTTCTTTAAATGATGTGGGTACCTCTGGGTTCCTCATTGACCTTCTGGCTGTGTTCTTTTTGCTTCGAAAACTCCGGAGAACCCCCTGTAGTACCGATGGCAACGTCCAGTAGGCCTGAAGTCTTTGGCGTGGAAGTCGTCGCTGTCGGTTGCGGGCCAGATTGCCCAGCGCCCCTGGCGGCGCGTGGATGGTGTGGAGTTCGAGATCGGGTGAGCTGTGCCCTGGGGAAAGAATGGTGGAACATATGATTTTTAATCTAACCAACACACAAACTTGTGAAGCTATAAAAGATTAAAATATATAAAATGATACTTTATTACACAGTGCCATCCTCCTCTTCCTCCTTCTCCTAGATCAAATATCTATGACACGTCTGGTAATGTTATGCCAGTTTTGTATATGTTAGTTTTGTATATGTATAGGGCCTACATAAACAATTTAGATACACGTTTAAAGGTCTGGTTCGGGTATCTTGTTCAGGTGCTGATGCTATGCAGTAAAATACGAAATATATATATTTTTACTTATTAACTGCAATATACGGATGGACATCTATCCTCCCCTGAAATAGGTGAACGGTCATCTTTAATCTGTCTGTGCATTCGTCAGTGAAAGTGGGTAATCAAAAAAGGTATGGAGGTGAAGTAGGAAATAAAACTCTGAAGTGAAAATTTGAGTCTTGAAATTAGTTTTACATAGACCTTCATTATTCAGAGTCTTAAGTCAATTTCAGTAACGTAAATGACATCAATTAAAAAAAATACAAACAGCTAGCTACCTAGCAGTGCCTTTAAATGTATTGATCTAGGTGGTTCTCATTAACTTCAATAATACACACACAGTTTAAGTTATTGATATTTATCTAAAGAATAAAATAATAATAATAATAATAGAATGTGAACACACAGACCTTTTCTGTTCATCTCCATAATCTCTAGTCAAAATTAGACCTGTGAAGTTTTCAAGAACTTTTCCCCAGCTTTGAATCGCACCTATAGCTTTCATAGGATGGGTACCCGCTTTATATCTACCAACCTGAAGCCATTTGATATAAATAGCCGAAACTGTTTAGACTGAACAGCCACAGTTATCATCTGCATCGAATAGTTTACTTAACGGTGCAGTTATTGAGGGTTAGATTAAATGATTTTTTATTTTTTTATAATAATGATTCAGTACTTGTAAAATATCAGAATACCTACTTTACTGACCCACAAACAATGAGATGTTGCGACAAAATATGCTAGGACCTTATTTCCTATAATTGGCTGAAGGCAATTTAAGGGTTACTTAATTGCTTTGTATTTTCCGGTAACAATTAGGGGTCAGTTTTAGCGCGATGAGAAGTCCATCACTTCAGAATAACCGATATGTAACAGGCGATATGGTCACTAAAACAGATCATTTTCAATTTAAATTGTGTGTGTGAGGCTGTCTGGCAAGTTCCACACACTTTGAACGCGTCATTGCGCTCATCACATCTGACAGCACAAGGGCAAACATCTTCCTCATTAAAACACACACAAAAAAAAAATATGGTTGCCCCGGGAAACACTGCACGTCTGATCCAAGGAAGTACAATTGTCCCCTTCCTTGATGAGAAGAAGAGGGATGAATTTTTCGGTTATTTTTTTTCTTCATGTGATATGTGGACATTAGGAAAAGCCTAAACAAGTTTATTTTCTTACCCCTATTATGTTGTGAATTACAAAATTAAAACAATTAAGAAACAGTGGTATATAACATCATAACATTCTGAAAGGCAGTTGGCCATTCGAGGCACTGTTTATCCACCATATGGTTCTAATTCATAGCTAGAAAAAACTGATTACTGACAACATGACGCATTTCACTATTTCTCGAAAGCATACGAAGCCTTTTATCATTGCCACCGCCATAATTAATTAAAAGAAGTCAGGATATCAAACTCCACCTCCCAAAGGTACAGCATGTAGAGGAAAGGTGGAAAAAGTCTTCTGCAAGACTTCTTAAAACTTCACATGGTTTAACCGGTATTAGTTCAACTGTCAAGAAAAAAAACTGTTGATAGCATCTCAAACCATCTGCGCGGTAACCTAAACTACGATGTTCCCTTCTCATGCTTTGAAATTTCTAATGCAAAACCATATCCGTAGAATCCGATGAAAAATGCGCCAAACGTACCTCCAAATAAACATGCCTATGATTAGCTTTTATTTTTTTAAGAGTGTGCGTCATAACAGATCCAGAGCCACCGTTAAGTGTCATCAACCTGTGTAAGTTTCATACTTATAAATGTGACCCCCCCCCCCCCCCCCTACTCAGCATATACGTCGGAGTCTCTTGTCAGAGGTGAATTAACATAGTCTGATACTCGGGGTGATTATCGTACACGTGGAACGAAAAATAATTGCTTTTTGGTGTAAACTCGTTGGCGGCTACATTGTATATGTACATGTTCCCCAGTGTTTATACGGAACGGTAATTAGTAATGCTGGTACAAGACACTGACATCAGGCAATGCAAATGCTGAAATACACCTAGCAGAGAAGGGATGAAAGGTACCGGCCTCTCTGACTTGGCATTTGGTTTTCTTGAGTATGTAATATCGCCGAGGGGTAGACGCTACTAAATGCATCACTTTGCTTATCTAGAAGGACTGCAGTATGTAATGGGGGATTCTGTCATAATATCTGTAGTACTGAATTATTCTTGTCTTCCAGGTCTTCAGAGGTTGCAAGAGAAAAATGTATCCATTGGAGCAACGGAAAGAAAATCCCGCAGTTAAACAAACGAAAAAAAATTAATAGCAGTAACAAACGGTTGTCAATGACTAAGTAGATACAGTGTAGGCATATGCCTCTCTGGATGCCTCTTATTCCTCCCGAGATCGATCAGTAAGCCCTAGAATAACCATCACCCTGGAAGTCTCACCACCAAACGTGCGTGACTCTCCTCTACCCAACAACGACTCTACGGCAACTACTACTACGCTCAGTGGTGACGGCTATCGCACAATACTAAGGTAATGTAACATACCACGTCGAATATCCGAACCGCCCTCTTCCTTCTCTTCTTTCTCAAGGTCTTCCATTTCCAGTGTTAGTCTGGGGTGCTGTGTCATTTCGACTGCGTTGTGCCCTCCGACGACATATGCTTCGTTACAAACAAGGGGTCTGGAAGCTAAAAGGGAACGAACAAATTTAGAGAAGAAATTTTATGTGGAGCACCAGACAAACCACGAGTCTTGGAGCAGCCTACATGTTCGAACATTGGAGGATGCGTCTATTGCATTGAATGCCCGCGGTTAAATGGGCCCCTAGGCTAAATATACATTGGCGTGAAAAGTGGACTGGAAGAAATTTCCGGACCTGTGAACAATGTTGTGGTACTTACTGGTCATTGGCCTATGAGGATTCAAATTAAAAAAAAACAAAAAAACCCCAAAAGATGTTTGTGTGTTGTGTGTGGACTGTGTGTGTGAGTGTGTGTGTGTGTGATATCTTTCTTGAAGTTAACTTGGTTTTACGGTTGGTTTTATTACTTAAGTGAACAGTTGCGTGCATTCCATATTGCGTAAAATGCCATTATGAACAGGCGTGTTAATACATGTACTACCATTTTTAATTATACACTTCTTTTGAATGAAATCAGATTATTAGGATGCTTAACAGAACTAAATCCAGCATATGATTTCCAAGCACGGGATACTCACATTACAATCCAATCCTAGCTTTCAATGGGGTTCCCTACTGTCTTTTCTCTACGATTTGTAGATCTACATTTAAAATTACTTTAACTTCTACCTGTACACCTTTCCATTTTCAGCAACAGAGTTTTAGCAAGCGCAATATAACGTCTTCTGATACACTGCATAGAGATATAGGGATATAGCACCGATATAGGTGAATCGACGCCAGTTGCCTAACTACTCATGGCAACGGGCTCCTCCAAGTTAAGAGATACCAGACACTGCTTCTGTTCCAGCACTACTCGATCTACTAGCTGGGCTAAATATTCGCTTTCTGGAGTCACTCACAAACAATGGGCTAGGCGGTAAGACATATCAGATGTTTCGTTGGCAGAACACTTTGTTTATACAAACTCCGTGACCGGTTATTTTTCTTGCTTATTAAAAAAAAAAAGGAAAGAAAAATCTTCATATTAAAGGACGAAGTGGGACCAGAATTTTTCAAATTTGGGGGCCAGTTTACAGGTAAAAAATAAAAATAATCAATAATATGAATGAATAATATATACTGTATTAATTGACAAGCACAGATTTTGAAAATTAGTTGTGGTCTCGCAAAAGCTGCATTTAGATGTTTAAGGCTCTCAAGTTCATGGGAGTGTATTTTTTGTTGATGTTGGATGAAAATATCCAACACACGTGAACCATGTGGACCTATTTATTGTTTTGTAATCGATCCAAATGAGTGTAGAATAACTGTGCATGTGTTTTTGTTAAAACAAAAAGCTGCTTCCAACAGCTAAATGGGTGATATCCCCCTCACAAAACTAACAAAAACAGAACTCATTTTAATTTACAATCATCAAAACTTCGTCTCTTTTAATATCATTGTTAAATCTACTTTAATTTTTAATTGAAACCATAGGTTGCAGGGGTGTTGAGAGCGAGAGTGGTTATGGTGCAACTTTTGTGGATTTATAATAAATTGAAGTATAGTTAAAACATACAGTTGTATATCAAACCAAACAAAAAAAGTAAAATTGCGTAAGTCACGTGACCAGCGTATAACGCAGGCAGCACTCGGGTATCTTCCGTTCACAGCTGACGGTCACAAATGCGGTCACAAATGGCTAGCTTTTCGTTATCTATATATATATGCATTCAGATATATTTACAAGTATCTCTTAATTAGTATTAATTGATTAAGACTGTAGACAGAAGAGACAATATGATATTGAGAAAAGGTTAACTGGTGGCACTGTTTATGATACCCACTCTCCCTCAAAGTCCCAATGGATCTTCTTTCCGTTCTTTAAAACGTTGTGGAAAGTGATGTATCGGAAGTTATTTGAGGCACCTGCTCTTTTGCCTCGCTTTTTCGCCTTCAATATTACGCGGTGATATGGGTG